AAGTTACTGTTGTACATTAGCCGAGTCCTCATATACAGTTTTAATTTTATCTTTCATGAGATACACAAAAATGATATGATCCACCTTTTTGACACCTGTATCTTGCATGATAAATGTACAACAGCTGAGTAGTTGATCACCAGCCTTATCCTTTGCAAGAGCCACCATATTTGTTTTCAGCATTTTCATGGATTACCTATTACATAAATCATGAAAGGTTGACGATGGGGTGACGTTATATAAGAGCAGGCTCATAATATGATCTTTTCGACAATGTAAAAAATGAGCCAGATATTTTACAATTCACAAGGCTGTCTGACCCCCTCAAAAGAAATGGAGCTCTTAATATTATTAATTCCACTGTTATGTTGGCTACACCTAACATCCATTGTAGATTATGAGTGACATTTCAAAATTGTTCTAAAGGGGGGATGACACGTCTCCAATGTCTCCCGCACCTTATCTTTTCGAAAAAGACAAAGACATTGGAGACATTGGAGACATTGGAGACATCGGAGACACAGCTTTTGGAGACATTGGAGACATTGGGGACATTGGGGACATTGGAGACATTGGCGACATTGGAGACATTGGGGACATTAGGGACATTGGAGACACAGCTTTTGGAGACATTGGAGACATTAGAGACAAAGCTTTTGGAGACATTGGAGACACTGGAGACACTGGAGACATAGATGTATGATTGTGCCACACCCCCACCTAAATGATGAAAGGACTTATTACAAATCAAGAGGCTTGCATATAATAAACATATTGACATGGGTGCAGAGTTGAGTCTGTACGGAACCTAGTAGTTTCAGTTCCTTGTTTAACTTGCTGTACAGCAAGGACATCCACTACTTTAGCCCGGCGAGGCACATAGCTCACTCTACAACTCCGTGTCAAATTTTTCATATATACTAGCCAAGTTCACAAGATATATCCTTGTGTTTGAGAAGCGCTCGTTAGAACTGCTTCCTTTCCCTTCAGTATCCCACAGTCTCTCGAGTTTCGTAACTGCCAGAGAACTCTCTTAAACATCCATCATTACATTCCCTGTACAGCAATTCCTGAATTAACTTCACCAGTGCAGTGGCCAGTGTATAATACACAAAAACATGAAACTAAGATCTGACAGTTTACTGTGACTTATGAGACACCTTACTGGAGAAATAAAGATCAATAATCACAACATTTTTTGCATTTAAAAAAATTGATTTTAAATGAAATTAAAAGAACTGTTAAAATATAAAAGATGAAACGTCAAAACTATCAAAATACATTCCGTCAAGTTTCTAGCCAGAGTCCTCAACGTCGACAAGGGGATGACTAGTGGACCTTGTCATGAACTCATGTCTTCAATGCCCCTAATATCCATTTTATGTCCTTAATGTCCCCAATGTCTCCAATGTCTTTAATGTCTCAAAAAGCTGTGTCTCTAATGTCTCCAATGTCTCTTTGTCTCCAATGTCTCCAATGTCTCCAAAAGCTGTGTCTCCAATGTCTCCAGGACATGTCTCCGCACCCTATCTTTTCAAAAAAGACAAGAGACATTGGAGACATTGGAGACGTGTCATGCCCCCCTCTAAAAATATTTCATTTAATCACTTGGCCCACTCTAATCTCTTGTTTTAGCAGTACTATGGACATTTTTCATGTCTGCATATCTCTGAAAATAACATTAATTTGAATATACACCGATTTCTCAGTACTGTAATCAGATAAAGCATGGTCAGGTGAAGCATGGTTCCTCAGCCAGTCACTTCGTGTTGTGATAGTTAACTATGGTGCTGGAATACTGTACAATCAGATTGTTTTTTGCAATAAAGCAGAAAGCTGTATAAATTTTCAACATTCCTTTTTCAGCACCAAACCTTGCAACATGATCTTTAATATCTGATATCAGTTCCACCTCAATCAGTTTCCAAAGCTGAGCATTACAATAACCTCTAAAATAAACCTCATATCATGTTATAACCTAATATGCTCTGTAAAGATAACGATTTCTTCTAAAATATCTTTGTTACATCAGAGTTATGACATTTTCATTCATCGTCAATACTTAAATAAAGATACTTAAATAAAGATTAGAGCTCCCGAAGAGTATTTCTGCTGCATAATAATATGCCTGTATTCATTGCTTACTCTTTGTCCACCTGATGCGTATGTTTTTCATATGCCATAATTGTTTATTAGTTTATTAGCAATGAGGTAAGTGTATATTTGGTCACTATGAAACCGGAGGTTATTGTAATTAAGCCAAGTTGTGGGTATTTGTTGAACAATGTTGATTGATTAACTATTTGTTGTATATTTGACTCTGTCTCTGATATGAACATAGCATCTTTTCAGTATGTGCCACTTTGATTTATAGTCAGCTTTAGTGGATCTTTCTGTCTCATTAATGGTATTAAAGTATGGTAATGGTATTCAAGTAATAGTATTCAAGTATGAAGTGATATAAACTAAGGCTGTTAGCACAGTCACGAAAAAAACAACCTCCAAATTTCAAGCTTTCAATTTAATTTTATTGCATTAATTTCGAGCTTTTAACGGACAAATTTCCGCACTATGCTGAAACATACCACCATTATGATACCATTAGTTATGCTCTGTTTTCTGTATTTAAGTGGTTTATATAAATGTGAAGTAATTCATGGTATGCAACTACGTAATAAAACAAATCCAGTCAACGTTAACTTCAAAATGCACAAACAGGGAATTTGCCATGTATGGAATAACCAGCTTGCATCCCTGCCGAATATTTTTGTATTGCAATCTGATACAGATACAGCATATTCTGGTACTTTTGTTTGAAGACTCCATTGTGCCGATGCTACCATGGACCGATGTTCAATTTCTAAGTTACATGGTACAATTGTGTGAATTCGGAACGAAGGTTCAATGTTTCCGTTTTCAGAATTGCTCTCAGGTTTATTCTGTGATGCCCAACTTTTAAAAAAAGAAATCAAAGATATCTCAGTTACATTAAGTTCATTCGTTTGTTAAGTATAGTAAAGAGATTTAATTTCGAAGATAAAGAGTGAGCTATATTTGTCAAACGGTCGAAGCCATCTGTATAACTCTGTAACTGATCTGTGTTTTTTCTCTTTTCATATCAGAAATAGGCCATTCGTAGGTTTGCAAAATACGGGCAGCAACCCATCTCTTTCGATTATGATAATCTAAATAACCCGTCACGGGAACGAGAAATGTTTGACTATAGCTGGTATTTTCTCTCCGGCTCCTCCTTCTTTGCTCCAGCCTCTTACTATATCCTTCAACTCGGCAAGCATTCTCTCTTCAGTATTTTTCTTTCTTAGTCTTTTCGGCCTCATTCTCCGGCATCTTACCCCCGGTCTCTGATTAGATTAGCCATGAAAGAATGACCATTGTTTTATTCAAACTGCAAATTATTAATTTGGTCATTTCTCCAACTCTGGGTACTTTCTTTATGCTAAAAATCACAATATATTTTTAATTTCTACACTTTTTACACAACATAAATTACTGCCACTGCACCTACAGCACCATGCTACCCAGTTTTTTAATTCTTCCAGATCAAATTTCGCATCTATACTGGTCAAATTAAATCACCAGAATTCCGCGAGTGTAGATAAGTGGTGACTCTCCTGTGACATCTCACAGAGTCGGTATTTTTCACAAATTCTTGTTTTCTTATGTTTAATAAGTCATGATTTAATTTAGTCATTGCCCTGTTCCACCAAGGTGTTATCACTGTGGGATATAACGGAGCATGAGTTTAAATTTCGGTAACTTTCACAGAATACTGTACACAATATCAGGAATCTGGGTTAGATCTTTAGTGGAAGCTTAAAGGGGCCGATAAGGTTACGACAAAAGAATTCCTCAGTATGTCTTTGCTCATTCCTTTGATATTTCAATTCAGTCATTCGAGGGGCCAGGCGCTGCAGGATCTTTTGTTTTTTATGTTTAAGTTGCCGTCGTTACTAATTAACAAATAATAATGTGGTCATAATTCGATAAATCTAAGTTTGAGGTATGACTTTTCTAATTTTAGGACTTTTTCTAAACTTAAGTGGTCCTTTATAGTGAGAAAAGTTGATTTGATTATTTATCACTTATTTAATCAACTATTGATGAATAGCTAGTTTGTGACTCACAAACATTTCACTTTAACAGCGATCGTTTCCGATTAGTTGTGATGTATGCAACATTTCGATTGCAAGCATGAAATGTCACGCACAACAATAGTTCTCTAATAAATGACAGCTAAAGAGATACCACTTGCGATATAACCGTATCTAGTGTCCAATGTCCATGTCTCACTAGATATAACCGTATCTAGTGTCCATGTCTCACTAGATATAACCGTATCTAGTGTCCATGTCTCACGAGGGTTAGCAAGCATAGACTCTGACAGTCAATAATCTATGTAAACTTCCTTCTCAACTAATGTGAGGTATATCTAGCTGGTTTGAAAGTTGTATATAATGTGTAAGTTGACCCCTGTAATATTGTAATATGTAGTTTTATTGCAAGGCTCTAAAAGACTATGCCAGGTGCATTTATCATCCTGAATATGATATTGTATTCCAATATATTTAATGTGTCATATGCTGCTTCTTTGTTCAATTCTGTGGAGTGTCAAATATGACGGACGTTAGATTACTGTAAGCCTGTTATTTCTATGAACCATCAACAGTATCATATTTAATTGTTAATGTTACAGTAGAAATTCATTGTTGAGCCGAGTGTTGCATCAGGTATCCCAATGGTGTCCCGACTATTGACAGCGGATATTTTGGGCTTAAAGATGACCGCCTCGAAACATGTATTTTTTAAGTGTGACCTTTTATATGACTTTTTTTTCAACTTAGTCATGATAAAGAATATTGCACATTAATATATATTACATTGCTTTAGACAGGTTTTTTTCAATTGATAAATTGACAAATGATACAATATACAATATACAATTGTTGATGATTAATTATGACAACTATCAACTATCCCCTAGTATAGGTAATGTCAAACTGATACTGCAACTCTAGTCAATAGTGATCTCTGTGAACGAAGAACGTCTTTCTACCAAACCCAATCCCCAATCGTTGATCCAAAGTAATTGCAATGCGAGTGTTGGCTTTCGCCACTTTTCTTCTTCTGGCACGATCAGGTATGTGATTTTTGTATTTTATTTTCATGTTTTCACATACGTTCATATTATATAGTTTTCATTAATTTTCGTTATCTATAATTTCAACCTTATCTGCAATAAAGGAGTTGATAAATTGTACATGACATTATTGAATCTGATGTCTTTTCTCAACAAAATTGTCTTCTCTTATTTTGATCTATCAGTCACTCTACAATAAGTTTTATAACAATTTAAAGCTAAATTAAAGCCAACATTCCAGTGTCTCTCAATGTCCTATATGTAGTTACGCAATAGTCGAATTAAATGTGATCTAATGTTAATGGTATTCATCGAGCACTATGATCAAATATCACGTGGCCTAACACGTGGCCTCCCTATGTAAAAGCAGACTTACCAACTGTGTTCTTGAAACTCTAGTCTCCCAATTCCATCTGAACACTAGTCCAGGTTCTTCACTTCTGGTGAATTCTTCGTTTACAACATTAAGAAAAAATATCACCAGCTGGTCACCAGGTGGGTGGTCACAAATATTTCTAGACACGCTGACCATTAGTCCTCTGGAATTTCGGTTAAAACGTGGACTTTGTTAAATGATTAAGGTCCTGGACTAAGTGATTTACTCTTACTGTGTTTTTAAGAGAATTACACATTATGGTACAAGGTCTGCATTCCCAATGGATCAGTTGGTGACAAAATGAATTGGTTTGAGTGTAACATGATCATCTAAATAGATACCATGATAGTAAAACCCTCGGCGAACTTTCTGGTTTTCGACAACAATAATTATATTACCATCACAAATTGAATCTATCGAGTTGGCAAACCGTAACATCTGAACAATTGACCTCGGCAGTGGAAATGGCTGATTCTATTTCACCTTCACACTTTCACATTTCTATCCCGAACTAATGAAATAGTCTGGGCACATCTATCTTTAACTCTCTCTAATCCAATTAAAAGAGCACCTGTGAAGACTTAGCCACAGTTTTTCTACCTCCGTACACCTGTGCGCTCATCTTCAGTTTAATCGAACTCTGTGTGTGATGGCCTTTAAAACCTGGCAATTTGATACCTCCTTTAGCTCAGATGACGTCACAAGGAACCCGATTTTTAGATTATAAACCCCCTAATTGATCAATCTTAAGTGCAAATCAGATTTGGGAATTATCGAAGGTACAGGGCTAATCAGTGGCTCTCGGGGCGTTAAAATGAATTCCAGAACATCGAAATTAGGTGTTTCATTATACATGAAAAATTAAATATAAATGGTTGAGTGTGTTTTACCAGGGTCTCCTTCCTTATCTAATTAAATTCTGAGATAACGTTTTGAGAGGTCGTTTAGGGGAAGAGAGAGAGAGAGACAGAGAGAGACAGAGAGAGAGCTTTAGTCTTATGAACGATTACTCCATCACATAAAGTCCTTTGAAGGTAGTAAAAGAGAATGTACAGGTCCTGTTTTGTGAAGGTATTAAAAGAGAATGTACAGGTCCTGTTTGTGAAGGTATTAACTCAGTAAGCTGCAATACACATCTCTGTACCTGTCTTTTGAGGATGAAATTGCGATCTGGAGACTAACTCAAAAACGTGGCCTCTGATGATGGGAAACTTGAAAACACGTCCTCACTCCTCGTTTACACGGAGGTTAAATAATACTTTACGTTGTACGAAATTCAGAAATAATAGCTACAACTATCTCTCTCTCTCTCTCTCTGTTGATGAAAGCAGCGAATAAATTCTGCCTCCTTGTTATGTTGCTATCTTAGCAGTTACCTCCAACTGGTCATGGTTGGAATCTGGTTAAGTGTGGTTATGGTTCGAGTTAAGCGAAGGTCTAGGGGGGTAAAATAATATCGGAAAATAAGGTCTAGCTCCCGTAAAATTCTTGTAAGCTACTGATAACACTCAGTAAACTGTTAAGATATTACGCCTATCTTATCTTGAGCTAAAAACATCTGTTGACGTTACTCAACATTTCAAAGTGTGATTTTAGCGGATTTGGACCATATTTCGTAATATTTTTCTTACATGAAAAATAGTGCTCGCTTGAGATCAGAACCACGTCAAAGGTTGTGTCAAGTATTTCTTATGACGCTGGAACAATAATTTCATATGATAAGTTCATATTATATCCTGCGAACGGAGGTCTGAAGTTGTCTCAAATAAATCTACTCAGCGAAAGTTAGCAAACCACATGGCAGATCTACGTGCTTTTGATTGGCTCGTAAAGAACTATCTTATTTTGGTTACTAGCAAACGCCCGTCTGTCGGGCGTTTAATATTGGTACCCTCAGAATTATGAACTGAACTAAATTACAAGGGGCATATTGTCAGAGATCACCGCTCCTGGTCGTCATCAAGTTAGTAAGCCACGTGCCACCTTTACATGCGTATGACTGGCTCATAAAGAACCATCTAATCATGTTTATATGCACTTTATATGCGCGAAGTATCCTCAGAATTTTGAACTGAAGTAAATTACACGCGACATGTTATCATGGATCTGCAGATCGTCATCATGGCATGTAAAATATAATGTAACAGTGGCTCACAGCCTGGATGTATGGGAGCTGGATGCCAGATGTTCATGATTAATTACAGAGGTCATATTGGTGTGTGTCTGTGTGTGTACAGAATAGAGCCTATTATTTACATGACATCTACGCGCCACCGTACATTTATTATTTCGTCATCCTCCATCGCTTTTAGTCGACAATCAGGGTTATCAGCTTCATTACCAGCTCTTTGGCGGGGCTATCATCCTTGTAAGTTGTAACAGGTCATTCAGCGCGGCAAAATACGGCTGAACTCTCCCTGGATTGTAGATATTTATGAAATGCCAGCAGATGGTCATGATAATAATAGTGGCGCTAAGTTGGCAGTATTATCGATGGCGGCCAAATAAAGTGGTTACTTTAAGATATGATATCTTAATTGGGCACACATATTTCATTTTAAGGCAGCTGGTGGAGGGCTGGTTGCCATGGTAACGGTGCAATCACCCTAGGATGGTGTAATATTGAGCATACTATAAGTTCTATCATATAAATGTGTTGGATATGGTTTCATAGAATCAGTAGCTGCATCAACTACTGATATCATTATATTATCTATCAACTGCTAATATCATTATAAATATTACTACTAATATTATTATATTATCTATCAACTACTAATATCATTATAAATATTACTACTAATATTATTATATTATCTATCAACTGCTAATATCATTATAAATATTACTACTAATATTATAATATTATCTATCAACTGCTAATATCATTATAAATATTACTGCTAATATTATTATATTATCTATCAACTGCTAATATCATTATAAATATTACTACTAATATTATAATATTATCTATCAACTGCTAATATCATTATAAATATTACTACTAATATTATTATATTATCTACTATCAACTGCTAATATCATTATAAATATTACTACTAATATTATTATATTATCTATCAACTACTAATATCATTATAAATATTACTACTAATATTATTATATTATCTATCAACTGCTAATATCATTATAAATATTACTACTAATATTATTATATTATCTATCAACTGCTAATATCATTATAAATATTACTACTAATATTATTATATTATCTATCAACTGCTAATATCATTATAAATATTACTACTAATATTATAATATTATCTATCAACTGCTAATATCATTATAAATATTACTACTAATATTATTATACTATCTATCAACTGCTAATATCATTATAAATATTACTACTGATATCATTATATTATCTATCAACTGCTAATATCAAATTTATAAATATTACTGCTAATATTATTATATTATCTATCAACTGCTAATATCATTATAAATATTACTACTAATATTATTATATTATCTATCAACTACTAATATCATTATAAATATTACTACTAATATTATTATATTATCTATCAACTGCTAATATCATTATAAATATTACTACTAATATTATACATTTATCACATGCCTTCTCATGCGATATCAAAACTTTCGCCCACGAGGCTTGCCGAGTTAGCGAAAGTTTCGATATTTCCCGAGGCTTGCCGAGGGTTATATCGACATTTTCAATCACGAGGCTTGCCGAGTTTTGAAAATGTTGATATCGCATGAGAAGGCATGTGATTAATGTTTTATCACACTTTCTTTGGATCCAAATTTGGCCGGGAAAGCAGAATTTGATCAAACGTTAGTTATAAATCTCACCAAAGCAAAACTAGACATGTCGAACTTATTTATGTTTATAATGTCCAAGCTATATATAGCTCTCGATAAGTTAGTATTTCAGATATTAAAGTTACAATACGTGAAATTAGAATCTCGCGTTTCACATTTATGACACAGTGAATGCTGTATGCCGCGCCCAATTTGCTTTTTTCTGGTACGTAGTGCATCGAATATTAATGTTTTTTCCGCCTATGGGTCTTGTACTTATGAGTCTAGAATATTCCGCCGCGAGCGCGTTTGATACGTAATTACATCCTGCAAATCAATTGATGTGAGGTGATTCTAATACTTTATTTCTATTAGATATTTTTAGAGTCATTAAAACTGTAGATGCAGTATAATGTATAGAACATCCGTTTAAGTGTTGATTATACATCACAGTCCTTATCGTATAATCTGTATCTGCGATAAGGTGAAAGAATTTCCTGGTTGTTAAATTTGAATAGGGTTGGCGCCATGATTGTCTATTTATCAGTCCACATTATACACTGCACACCCTAATTTACACCAACAATATTATCGTCCGTCTTGATTCTTGATTGTCTGTTATTTCAGAATGATTTAATCAATGCAACTTGTAATCGTTGACTTAGAATTTTATCAAGTATTCTGCTTAGTTCTTAGTCAGTATACATCTTTACTTGCCATTATTTGCCATTATTTGGAGCCAAATTTGGCCGGGAAAGCAGAATTTGATCAAACGTTAGTTATAAATCTCACCAAAGCAAACTAGACATGTCGAACTTATTTATGAACT